AGATCTTCAGCGCACACACCTCTTACAATGTCTCTTGACGGCTCTTCTCTCTCTCGCTCTGTGTGCAGTGCACACACACACACACACACACACACACACACTCTCTCTCTCTCTCTCTCTCTCTCTCTCTCTCTCTCTCTCTCTCTCTCTCACACACACACACACACACACACACACACACACACACACACACACCACACACCCTTCACACAGCTACCGCTGACTGGCGGCATTGAGGAGGCGACGCGGCAGGTCGACACGTCCATGGCTGTCCCGCCAAGCACAAAGCCCGCGAGCAAACGCAAGAAGACGACAGCATCCACATCGTCGACAGCGTCGAAAGAGCGCACACCACGCGGGAAGAAGAAGGGCGGGCCATCAGCAACACCTTCGACTTCAGCAAAGCGGAGCACACAGCGGCGGCGCAAAGCAGCAGCACCTGCGGACAGCGCCAGTGACAGTGATGAGGAAGACGAGGAGGAAGGAGAGGATGTGGAAGCAAACTTCCTGGAGCCGAGCGGGGTGAGTCTGTGTGTGTGTGTCTATGTGTCTGTGTGTGTCTGTGTGTCTGTGTGTGTGTGTGTGTGTGTGTGTTTGTGTCTTGCGTGTTCGTGTCTTGCGTGTTCGTGTCTTGCGTGTTTGTGTCTGTCTGTCTGTCTGTCTGTGTATGTATGTATGTGTGTTTATTCCTTGCGTGACACGTCAGAGTTGCGCGAGGTAGACGGTGATGATGACGACGACCACAACTCCCAACTCACTCCACCTGCTTCTGCACCCTCGCTTTCTCGCCCCTTTGTCCTGCCGCTGCCAGATGTACACTGCGGTGATGGATGAACTGCGCAAGAATTCCACCGCCTCCACAGAACGCTTGTGCCGCATGCTCACAGATATGGTGCGACTGTTCTGTGTGTGTGTGTGTACGCATGTTTATGTTTGGTTGTTACACTTGACACGTGCATGTGAGGTAGGTGAGCGTACCACAATGCTCACGCGTGTCCCCTTCCGTGTCGTCACTACACATACATACCCCCACCCCCTCACCCTCCGCCCACCAATGCCGCTTGCAATCCATTGCCAGGACCGCTACCGCATGAATCCGCGGGGATTTCTCTCCAAATGGGTATGTCATGATCACAGGCGACGGAAGGAGAGGCGACGGAAGGGGAAAGGGGGAAGGATCAAGGGTTTGAGATGGGTGGGGTGTTGAGCGTGTGCGTCCATGGATGCGTGCGCGTGCAATCGGTGTACCATGACTGAGTTTGCGAGTCATTGTGTGTGTGTGCGTGTGTGTGCGTGTGCGTGTGTGTCTGTGTGTGTGTGTGTGTGTGTGTGTGTGTGCGTGTGCGTGTGTGTCTGTGTGTGTGTGTGTGTGTGTGCGTGTGCGTGTGTGTCTGTGTGTGTGTGTGTGTGTCTGCGTGCGTTCACCCGTGAGCAAAGAGTAGCAAGCACAGAGGGGTTCGTGAGGGCTGCACTTCATTGACGATGGGTTGTTGACGCGTTTGTTACTTGCATCGTCGCACCAGGGATTTCCACGGGAGCCATTCAAGTCCATGGTGAGAAAGCGCGCACATGCACGCTTACATGTGCACGCACGCACAAACATAAGCACGCACACATGCTTGTCTGCACACGTGCGCATGTACGTATTTACCCCCCCCCCACACACACACACCTCCACAACCACCCACACACACATACTCACCCCACATCACTCCGCGAACCTCAGGAGCATGCACAGGCGGTTGCTGCGCTGCCCAACAGGCCCGTGCGCCAGAACATCAGCGTCAGGGCCGTCTCAAAGTCGGAATACCCAGACGGTGAGACACTGGCAGTGGAATGGTGTGTGTGTGGTGTGTGCGTGTGTGTGTGTGTGTGTGTGTGTATGTGTATGTGTGTGTGTGTGTGCGTGCGCGCGTGTGTGTGTGTGAGTGTGTGAGTGTGTGAGTGTGTGCATGCGCTCGTACATTTACCTGTGTTGCTCAAGCAATCCCATGTTCACTCCTCAACTCATTTATTGTCACAACAATAACACCAACGTGCCATCTTGCTCACACACGCTTGTGTTCTCAGCTGCTGTGAAAGTGCTGCAGCAGACAGACCGAACGCCACTGCATTATCGCGACCTCACAAAGCGCACCGTCGACTCTGGACTGCTGGACGGAACATCCACAAACGTCCACGTCACAATGAACAGTCAGGTGTGTGTATGTATGTGTATGTGTGTATGTGTATATGTTTGCGTTTGTTTGTCTGTATGTTGTGTATGTGTTTGTGTATGTGTATGTGTATGTGTATGCGTATGTGTATGTGTATGTGTATGTGTATGTGTATGTGTATGTGTGTCTGTGAATATGTCATTTCTCTCATTTGATCTTCTTTCCTCTCCACTCCCCCACATTGTCTGCAACCCCTCCCCCAACCTCCCAAACTCATTTTCCATCACCGCCACTGCTGCCTGCAGCTGAATCGTTGTCTCGACTTTTACAACGCCGGCCACGGCTATTTTGGCCTCATGGAGTGGAGGGTGCGTTGCTTGCTGCGGCTGTGATCTGTGTGTATGTGTGTGATCTGTGTGATCTGTGTGTGTGTGTGTGTGTGATCTGTGTGATCTGTGTGTGTGTGTGTGTGTGTGTGTGTGTGTGTGTGTGTGTGTGT